CAAAAAAAAAAAAAGAAGAAGATGTAATGTCTGTTTCAGGCATTCACAGGATTTAAGAATGACTTTGCAATATATTTAGGGGAACCTAGTGCCAATATTTTACTCATTCTAATTTGAATCTTTAAGATTGGTTTTGTTTTTATATTCTATTATCTTTTCATAAAATGTAATTACTTAGATTCTTCATTGTGATGGAAATTTTTCTAATTTGAATGAAAAGTTATTCACTTAGAGAAGAAATATGGAAAATAATCTGATAATGATAAGGACTTAAATATTCAGATTTAATGATTGACAATCATAAAAAGTTAACACTCAATGTGATAAAGAAATTACTAGGGCTCATAAATGTCTTAGGAATCAACTTTGAAGGAAGTGATTGTTATATACCATAAATGAGCTATAATGGATCAGAGAATGAGAGATTTAAAAAAATAAGAAAAGTACTTGTCTTTTAGGATATCAATCAATATCCCTACATTTTCAATCTCTTTTATTTCTAGTCAGTTTTTTAGACTCAGTTTTCCCTAGTGCATTCATGCAAGAAGCTATGATATTCCAAAATCACTATAGAAGGTTTGGGCATATTTAGAGCGTCATAGGTTTTTCATGAAATATGAACTGATTATAAATTCTATACCCAAGATAAATAATGGGGTTTTAACTCACAAATACTAACTACTTTTTAATAAGAAAAATGTTACAAACTCACATTCACAATAAACGTCCTGATACACACCAGTTTGCCTCTGAAAAAATAAAGCTCTTTATTTAAGTGGATATGTTCTTCAACATTGCAAGATGGTCATGATGTCTCTGATTTGCAACTCTCCTGAGGCGTCACCATCATGACTCCTATACCTATGTATTTGGATTATTTTGTTTATTCCAACCATCTTTTTCTCTTTGATTACAGCCCTTCTGAACTTTTTATTGGATAATCTATTACTATTTTTTCTACTTTGAAATTTTGATTTTTTTTCCCACATAAACTGGACCATTTTCACAGTTCCTAATTCATTTGATGACACTCATTTCATTTGATTTCCTCTTTTCAATTGGAAAACAAAGGACTTATGCTGTCTGAAGAATCACCAAGGTCATTCAACTGACATGTTTCTAGGATGTATGTAAACTTGTGCTAACAGCTGACATACTAATAAGCACATCCTCTATTTCCTTCTTATCTTTATTTTCTAACAATTCTAGTAAGAAACACTACTTCCTAGACACTAAAGCTAAGACAAAATTCTCCAGCTTCTCCCAATAAATGTTTGATTTTGCATGCTACAGTAGTGACTTCTTTTCTCTGAAATCTTGAAGGTTTTCTTTTCATTCAGGGATTGGTATTCAATCACTTCTGGAGTCCTCTCCAACTTCCTGATCCATTTTACTACCAGACTTTTTCTACCATTTCATCCTTATTACTATCATTACCTTGTCTTTTATTATTTGTTAATTTGTTTCTTTTTCCTCTTACTCTGCTAGAACTCAAGACTCTTGACCCAAAGGATCAGGTTTCTCTTGTTCACTTTTGCAAAGAGCAATGTTTAGCCCAGAGAGGACTATCAGGAAGTAGTTGAACAACAGAATTTTTTGGTTAATTTTAAAATACATACATTCCTTAATGTTAGTGGAGGTAACTTTTGTAATCATTGTAATCATTGTGTCTAAGGGTTTTGTTTTTCCTCTTTATGCTGTTGGTGAAAAATCTGCCCTTGACTTTGAATTGTTTCTGAATGGCTACTTTTGTTCCTTTCCAGAAATCAGAGATAACATGTGACTGTTGCATCACAGATAATTTTTTCCACCAAAACATTTGAAAATGACTTGGATTCATTTATTAGTTTTATTTCCAAAGCTTTGAAGTACACTAGATTTCTGCAGTAACTAACCTTATGCTGAATGCCAGAGGACATGCAGTAAGCTCTTATTAAAAATCTATTCATAATGCACTTTAAATATTCAGTAGAGACTTCTTACACATGCAGCCTTAGTTTATTGCAAACGGATTTCTGAAAACCAAGAGATTGGATATTAATATCAGACATTTGTGTAAAAGCAAGTTTTTGTGAACCTATTATAAAGAGGACTGATGATGTGCTTAAGTATTGTTTACTAGCTCATTTATATTTCTCTGTTCTAATAATTGGTGCAGTCCACCTGTTTAGTCTTTCTCCTTTCATTAAGGATTCTTTTTAAAAATAATGCTTGATTAATATCTTTGATTGAATGAAGATTGTTCATTACTATAGAAATTACTGGCATTTCTTTTTATTCAAATTAATAATATTTATACAAAATATATAAAAATGATATTGTGAAACTCCTGAAATTAGAAGTTTAAGTAGACTGGTATCTGGCATTAGTATCGGCATGCTTTTGTTATCATAGTCGTTCTTACTTTGAAATTTTGTGGTGTTAACTAGTGGCAATTTTGCCACCCAAGAGACATTTGATAATATCTGGAGACACTTCGACTGTCGCAACTAGACGGTGTGAATGCAATCTAATGATGAGATGTGTTACACATCTCATAATACATAGAACAGTCCTCTGCAACAAAGAGTTATCTGATTTAAAATATAAATAGTGCTACGATTGAGAACTTATACTAGACAAAGTTTTAAAAATATGTTTACAGATAAAATTACCCCCAAAAGCATACTTATTTAAGTGAGCCATAAAGGTCTTCAAAAAGAGTAAAATAAGAAGAGCTTTTATAGCTTTTGTAGACCATTCTAAGATATTTGTCTTTACTTTGCATAAAAGAAAAGACCACTGTATGGTACAGAAGAGCAAAGGGAAAGTATAATTAACTTTATGTTCTAGAAAGATCTTGTTGCTATTGTGGTAGGCATAAATTTAAAGACATTCCCTAACATTCCCTTTTCCTGGTTATTCTGTTAAATTCTAATTTCGATAATGTTATAAGGGAATTTTGCAAAGATAGGTAAGGTTATGGGACTTTGGGCATTAAGGTCATCATGGATTATCTTAGCTGGACCCATTCTACTCATATGAGCCCTTAACAAAAGTGATATTTCTTCATCTGAGGGCAATCAGATAGATGAGACAGATGAGAGAGGCAAAAGAGATTAAAAATGTGAGATAATGCCACCTACCATAACCACCTTGACTCAAGACTAGCCAAAAATCAAGGAATATGGGGACCTATAGAAGTTCAGATCCATATTCAACTAAATGCCAGCAAGAAAACAGAGTATCTTAGACTTACACTGCAAGGTATGAACAATCTCAGTGGTTTTGGTAACACTGTCTTTTAGAATTTCCAGGAAGGCATGCAGATCTGCTGACCTTGTGATTTTGACCTAAATAGAGAATCATCTGAGCCAATCTGTGCTTGGACTTGTAACTTTTTGTAGCTGTGAGATAATATATAGTTCTTTAAAGCCAGTAATTTTATGATAGTTTGTTTCAGATGCAATAGTAAACTGGTGCAGTTGTTGTGTTGAAAATTATAGACCTTAAAAGAAGCTATTAATAGTGAAAATGGTGAGGAGTGGTGGAATTCTGGATGTATTTGGAAAATATAGCCAATAGAATTTGCAAAAAGCTTGGCTATATGGTGTGAAAGAAACAGAACACATAGCCAATATCAAAGGTTAGTCTGAGCAACTAGGAGGATGGGGTTGCTATGAACTAAAAGAGGCAAGACAGCATATTTTGAAGGAAAGATTAGTATATCGGTTTGGGGCATGTTGAGTTTATTACTTTTGTCTATCATTGAGTTGGAGACATTTAATAAACAGTTGAAATATGGAGTTCAGGGGGCAGGTCTGGATTTTGTTATTATCTAAGTGGTATAAAAAAGCCACGAGATAACCTATGAAGTAGATATAAATAGAGGAAAAGAAAGGTCAAGGGGCTGATATTTGGAGCTTTCTAAAATTTAGAGGGAGGTGAAGAGAAACTAGAAGTCTCCACTGTGTTGAAAGAAAGAAAAAAAAGAGAATATGGCTCAGGATAGTAGTTTTGTGATATTAAGAAAACATTTTTAAGTAGTTTTAAATTTTTTTGAACTCTTATATGAGGATATAACTCCATGTAAACTCTTATATGTGTGTATGTTCAAAACCCGTAGAAATAAATAGTATGGTAATGTATAATGAGGTAAGTAAAAACATAAAGCACAAATTTATTTTTTTAATAACCTAAGGAAGGTTTTTGTGATTTTTTTTCTTGTTTATCATCATTTGAAATATTATGTAAATATTGTAAGTACTCCTTAAGCCACTGAAAATTAAAAACAAAACCAAGTTCAACATCTAATGAGCTTTAAAAAAATCATCTAATTAGTTTCTCTAGCCTATTAATTGTCCAAGAAGTAAAGTCCTATTTTATCTCCATCCGTGCAAAATCTCAACATCCCACTAAGTCAGAACAAAGCTAGTACATATGAGCCAAGAAAATCATAGGATTTGAGACAATTTTGAGACTCTTCTAAAAAGGAGGTTACTCATCCACTGCCTTTTACTGTTAGCTATCCACACCATGTTAATAGTAACTTATTTTCTTGGTGAAGTTTAAGACTTTATCTTCACCTCTTTTAGGAACAGAGAGAGCAAATATCGAACACATGTACTCCCTCAGCCTCTCCCACTGTTTTTGTGTTCAGGACATTACACTGGCATCCTTAGCCAGTGTATTGCAGGGGTACTTCCAAAGGTCAGGTACCATGGTTCAAGATGAAACCATTCTCCATCCCTGCATTTTGTTTCTTGAGTCACACACAAGGGGTATAAAACAAAAATTCTTCATCCCCATGCATCATACAATCATTTGGCAATGAAGTCATTCTACTGTACTGAATGTGAAAAGTTGTATTTCTAAATTATAGAGCTTTTCAGTGCATGTGAACAATTTATTTCAATACTACATACTTCATCTGCTCTAACATTTCTTCAGTCAAAAGTATATATTTCTTTTCTTCTTGTTTAAAAGAAATATTTTAAGATCATCATATACAGAGACTCACCCTTCTTAGAGTCATATAGACATTGTCTTTGTTTATATTGCTGTGATCATGCAGAAGTCTAAGTTTGGAGCTCCATGGATATGATCACTTGCATATGTATTCCTTTATTCCTAAAATAAACATGCAAGTTAGTGAGATGAGCTCAAAAGGTACTTTTGGCAAAGCATCAGGCTGAGAGGTGGGTGATGAGGATGGCTTCTCTCATGTGTTCATCAGCTCATTTGGGAAGTGATTGGTTTGTTGACAAAGATGTTTTGCTTGGGGCAAGTTGTGAAGGACTTATAGCTATGCCATTTAGAAACCAGCACTTCTTATATTTGAAAAACTGCATTTAGTAAGCACCATCTCCTCGATCCAGTACCATTTCCCTCCTTGATACAGTTTCAGTTTTTCACTTATGCCACTTAGCATCACTGTGCACAAGTTCTGTATTTGGTGGGTGACACAGGCACACATTGAAGCTGTCTAGGAGTGACCAGTCTGCAGGCATGCATTTTTGGTTGTCTATAGACTAGATAGGCAGAGCTTGGATGTCCTCACCAGAGCTACTACAGTAGAATAGTATAATAGTAACTCTTTCACAGTTCAGTGGTCACTGGCACATGGCACACCTGTACTTCATAGACAATGGCAAACTGACACACAAGAATATCCACAGGTACACACACACAAACACACACACACACACACACAGAGTTACTAGCCCATACGTGCATGATGTATTTGGTCTTTGCCCTGGCACTCTTCTTCCATTGGATGCTTTTAAAACATCCTATTTGATTTCCCATACGGAATCATCCAAATGACCAAAAGTCAGGGGAGACAGAAAAATAAACCACTGAAGTCCCCTATTATACCTATGGGAGTGGCTTTTCTTCCTTCATGAATCTGAGTTAGACTGGCTATTCCCTAGTGGAGCAGATTGACAGTCATCTCAGCAAAGCCTTCCTTCCTTTCCTAGCACATGAGAATCTTAGCATCTTTTGAGCTTTCACAACAGTTGTGCTTGCCTTTATGGACTTAACATCATCAGCCCAATATTGATCTAGGTTTCCTGTCATTCAGGAGCTTATTCTTTAAGTCCTAAATAAATATTCTTGAAGGAATTGAGGTATTAAATAAGTAATATCTTTTTATTAGCATAGGTTGTGGTCAGAGAGTAAAAAAATCCACTGATTTTCTTTCAAATAAGTCCCAAACTTGTTTGGCATATTGGTTGATTCCTGCTGGATCTGAACTGAATCTGAAAGATGTATATTGAACTTTTTATACTGATTTAGCTAATAATTGTAAGAAAACTAGAAGACTTGGGAAATAAGAGAAATATTGTCTGTCATGAAAATATTATAAAAAATATTTTGCACTAAGAAATTCTCCTTTTGGCTATTACAAAGTCCACATGACCCTTTATATATCAAGCCAGGCAAAAGCTTATTTAATTTGGTAAGCTTGGAAGTTACCCAAACTGATTTATAAGTGTCACTTACCCTTTTGTTAATCCATTTTACTGATAACCTTTGAAAAGAATGTAGAGACATTTTATCACTGGGTCACCTGTGGGCCATACTTTTCACTAATCAGAGAGATGGCTTCCTATGAGTGAGATACTAAAATATAAAGAAGAGCCTCTCATTTCAAGATACACTTATTTATTTCTTCTTAGGCACAGCATTCCAAGAGATCATCAGATATCCTTTGGTAATACTGTTTTGCCATTTAGTACAGAATATAATAGCTATCAAAATATCTACCGCAATCAAAGTAGAAATCTCAGTTTCACATATAAGAGAAATGGAATCTAAATAACTACTGTGATGAGACCCAAAAAAGGAGATAGATAACTATACAGAAAAACCAAAAGCAGAAACTGTGGACAGCTTTAGGATGGCTATTTACCAGTTTGATGATAATGAAAGTTTCCTTGTCTAAAGACTGAATAATTTTAGAATCTATGCAAAAATCTTTAATAAACTTTATTAGTAGATATGGGATATATTTGAACACTGATTCTTCTAGACATGATTCATTTTGCTGGTATATTTGGCTGAAATGAAGTGTGTCCAAAAATAATCATCCTAGGTAACAATTTTTTTGCAAAATACTCATTGCTTTAATCGAAATAACTATATACCCTTTTACTTAATTTATAGAAAGAATTGTACAACTACAAAAAGCTGTCAGCACAGTTGCCTTGATTCATTCACTCATTGAAAAGTATTTAATGTATGCCTACTATGTGCTACTGTTCTAAGCTATAGAGGAGACAAAACACTGCCCTCTTGGAGTGTGTCTGAATGTCTGTAATGACAGAAAATCAATAAAAAGGAATGAGTAAATTTGTGGAGTGTTAGATGGTTATAAATAGTATGGAGAAAAAGCCTTGAGTGGAGACAGAGGATAATGGAGGATATGCTTTTTAAACAAAGTGATCAGGGAATTCTTCACTGAGAAAATTACAGTAATTAAATACTTTGAAGTTGGCAATTGAGTGAGCCCTGTTGGTGTATGAGTGAAGAATGTGACAATCTACATGCAAAAATTTCATCTGGAGTTTATGTGACAGATTGGGTATGAATAAGAAAGCTTGAGAGCTAAAGCAAAGTGACCAAAATTATGGTAGAAGGAAGTGAACCTGGAGGGAAATGAGAACTCAGTCTTTTTAAACTTGTAGATCAGAATGATAAATGGAATTTTCTCAGGGCAAAGTAGAAAGCTTGGAGAGTTTTTAATAAGAGGAAAGACATATCTTATTCTTTATGTTAACAGGATTGCATAACGCTGTGTTGAGGAGAGACACAAACGAGCCAGAGAAAAAGTGCTAAGGCCTATCACATATCCATTTATTCATTCACTCATTCATAACACAAGCATATCCAACATTGCAGATACATGTAGGCAATGTTTCTGTACAGAAAATGAAGAGACATTGTCTCCAGTTTTTGCAAAAGTGACCTGAATTTCATGAGTAAACCAAGTCCTAGAAAACATGGCTTTCTTTCTTTCACAGAGGATCCACTGTCCACATGAACACATTCAGTTCTGATGAGTGAGATCAAATGATCTGGAGAAACAAACAGGTAAAATTTCAAATGACCAGTTCTACTTTTGGTTATTCTTTGAGAAGGAAGAACACTAGATTTACTTATCATACATTGTGCTTTTATAAATATATATATAAGACTAATGTGTTATTTATTTTTGGATGATTATGTATGTGAGTAGCACTGCTGAAAACCTATCCAAAAGAAAAAGCATTGAGTAGGTTCAGGGGTAATAAATGTGTTCTCTGGGCAGTATATCAGAAATTCTTCAAGAATATTCAGACAATTTGTGAAGTTTGTTATTAATAAAATTTTATGTCATTTTTGAAGTGCAAAGAAATATATTTATTCTCTACTGCACAGACTCATTTTTGTTCACTACTCTATTTTATCTGTCTTTTAAAGTCTTTTGAGGATTATGCTAGTTTTACATGTTTATAGCATCACAATTAATAATAGCTAAATCTTGAAAGCAGTTTCATGTCCATCAATGGATTAATGAATAAAGGATATGTGGTGTTCATGTGTAAATACCAAATAGTTTCTCTAGTGTGAGAAACTGAGAGGGTAAATAAGGATTAAAAGGATTAATAACTAATAATTGATACTTTGAAATAGGAAAAGGTCCAAAGGGGTAGGGGTGGTGGGAGGAGATGGGGAAAGGAAAGAATGGAAAGGAAAAATTATGAGAAAAGAAAAAAACAATGGAAACAAAATCTATGTAAATAAGGAAGGGTGGAGGGGTGAAGGGCACACAGGTAATGGGGAAAAAATAAGAACCAAGATACATCATGTACAGATACAAGCACCCAATGATAAATGTAAACGTATTATATGCCTAAAATGTACCAATAAAAGAATTTAAGCAAAAAAAATAAAAGAATATGTGGTGTTTACAAAGAATGGAGTACTACTCTGACATAAAGAAAGATGAATTTGAGTCATTTGTAGGAAAATGCATGAAGCTTGATATCATAATGTTAAGTGAAGTAAATCAGACACACAAACCTAATAATCCCTCAATTTAATTTTACTGGGGACTACAACCCTATAGCCAACTTGCTGACTTGTGAAGATATAAAAACACTACTGAAAGCAGTATTGGGAGCAATTTGCTAAAACTCTTACCGGCATAGTGAGTGTTGCTAGTAGAGTTTTTAATAAGTCTATCTGTAATTAATAGATTCTAATTGATTCTATTTTTCCAAGTAGCATGGATATTTATGGAGCACTAGATTATGTTAAAACTAGTATACCAAATATTAATGAAATAATTTTCTTTTTTATTTTTTTCATGTTTTACACATACTTTTATTTGTTGAATAAATGAGTATTTGTTCATATGTACATAACCACATAGAGCTAGATTTAGAGCAAAATATTTGGTTCTAATATGCAAAGCCACTTATCAGCTATGAGAGCTTAGGCAAAGAACTTAATCTAGCTCAGCTTCCTCAACTGTAAAACTAGGATATACAGAAATTTTCTAACATAATAAATCGGTTGCACTGCTGGTGGAGAAAATGAGTTCTTGACTTTTATTGAGGTGAATTCCTGCAGTGCCAATAATTCTGATATTTGCTCTGTTCTCAAATAAAGCACTATTAGAAAGTGATTCAGTTCACAGATGCTTATTAAAATATTCATTATTCATAGCGGGGGAGCCTACTCAGGTTTTGGATTTTCTTCTCCAGTTTTGAATTTTCACTTCACTCTTTCATATCCATGCAAGTGACACTTCCTTCACCCCACTGCTGAAGCAAGAAATGTGAAAGTGATCTGGTTTTCTGCCTGCCTCACTCTTCTCAAGAGAGTCCATTAGGAAAGTGTTCACATTTTATATCATAAATCCATCCACTTTTGTTCATTTTTCAGTACTAGAACCCCTTCTTAAACTCTGTCCTCTCTAAATCTGTAATACATAATGAAAATATCATGATTCTCTAATTGGATTTTCTTTTCCTCTGTCTACTACTCAAGACAATACAGACACAGTCACACACAACATACAAAACAATCCTTTCTCAACATACCAGTTTTGGGGCTGGAAGATTAACCCAAATAAAATA